GGGGCGGGGAGCCGCTGTCCTGGCCCACGGCAGAGTGGGGTGCTGGGCAAGGGGCCGCCCCCTTCATTTTCTACTTCGTCCCTTCTTGAATGCATGTCCAGCTTTAAGAACCTTTAGCTATTTCGGGTTGTTTGCAGATCAGTGAGCGAGAGAGAGCCGAGGCTGGAGTCAATAGCAGTTACGCCAATCAGCCAATCAATCCGGTTCAGTGAGGAGTTTGGAAAGCAAAGCGGGGAAGTGAAGGGGAGACACAAGTAGAGTAATTAAAAAAACACGCTCAGCACCCGCTTCCTTCTTCCCTTCCTCCACCCCTAGCCTCCGTAAGCAGCCTTTAAAGATGTTCTTCGCCTGATCCCAGTTCTTCTTGGAAGAGATAAATAAAACCTCGCACGTCCCTAACTCGTTTTCCATAATGCTAGCAGGGTCCTTTGGCAAGGCGCACAGAAGCAATAATCTCTGCAGGGGTCAGCATCCGGCTGCCTCCCCAGACTGAGCTCTTTACGAGGCGGGCAGGGAGTCGTTTTGCTTGGCGGTAGCCGCGCTTAGAGTGATTTTTATCGCGGTGCACGAGGATCTGTGCAGAAAGGGAAGGGTTCCATCACCTGTGACCACTACACTGGCTGATGGAAGAGCCCCTAACCAGCATCACCTCCCCGCTGAACCGACACTCCAAGGCTTGGCAATTAACCAAAACGTTTGCAGCAGGAGTTACTGATGTTATTGGTATTCAAGCCTAACTCTCAAACCCAGCTCAGAAACTGAGAGTGCAATGGTATTCAACCGCATTTTGAAACATCAATAAAATGTTAGTCATTCGCGGGTGAATGGAAACATTCTCCTTACAGTCTTTTACGCTAGGGAAATAATTGTCAAATGAGAGACTCCTGCTAATATTGATGCCAAATAGCTAGATCACACTGTCATCGTGTTAACTGCATTTTGTTTTTCTTTCTCGTGTGGTACATTAATGGATAAAGCTTAAAATTATCTAGGGCAAACGGGGGATTAGAAAAATCGACATGTCATGTCCATGGGCAAAATTATGCAGCGTTATTTAGAATTCTCTCTAGAAATAATTGAGATTCATTTGAAGAGAAGCAGAAGACACAGCTTCCGGCATTCTGACTCAGTTTAGCTCTATTTTATGCAGGAGTAGGGTGCCAGCGTTTTCTAGTACAAGCTATGAAAAGCATCCTTTTGTAACTGCTGTTTCCCAGAGATCTGACATCTTCTGGGAGGAAGGAGAAGGGAGCTGGGATTTCTGTGACCAGGGATGGAGCTATGCAGCGGTTTTAATATGTACAACAACCCTTCAGGCTTGTAAAAGGAAACTAGAACCACTTCTATTTTAAAGGCAAAGAGTTTATTTTTTTATTTCTAGTTTTTTTAAAAAAATCACTTCCATTCACTGATCACAAAGCACTTAACTCTCACAAAAGTCACAGAGAAGCAATAACTAAACCTAGTTTATAGATAGATATGTGGGCTAGTGGAGAGATTATTTACGTATATGTGGGGCTGTAACTACAGTACTCTTGCTGTTCTAGGGAGGAAAGTGATTTTTAAAACTTCTAGGACTTTCTTCTCCCCTCCCAACCTTTCTAAGGGAATATATTTGAGAGGATTTTGCAGGGTTTTGAGATCCTAGGTTTCTTCCCACCATAGATTAAAATCCTAGCAATCTTGGCTCGTTCTGAGAAAAATAAAATAAAAACAAGAATATGAAAGAAAGGGAACCTCCCTGCTTAGTTAGCACATAGGTCCTTAGTATAATTTGTTTTTAAGTATCAAGAATAGGTAACAGCAATGTTTGAACTTTTTAGTGGGTGTAATAGAATGGTCCCTTGATCACAGTTTTTAGGAACTGACATTGGAAGGAATTACTACTTCCTTTGAGTCATGTACCTTTATTTTGTTTTCAAAGCTGGACTTCTAATATTTGAAGAAATGTGATAACCAGTATGGAGTGAGCGTGGAAGGAGAAAGGTGGAGCCTGAGTATAATTAGTGACTATGACATCATGTAGCTTGGTTTACACCCTTGTTTTGCATGCCCCGTGACTTCAGTGTTGTTGAAAAGATAAAGTTATAAGGAACCTTCTTAAACTTCCTTAGTTTAATTAGCTTGATTTTTATTCCACAGTGCAAATGAAATTATTATTAGGGAAAAAATTTAGACTGTAAGTTCACACTTGTTTTCTGATACTGAATGAGTAAACCCAGGAACATTTTTCATGCTATTACTGTCTAGGCATGAGAAATTTTAGGCAAACAGGTCTCGGGATCTAGTGGAAAGAACTCATGAGATACCTTTGTAATTCCTGAAAGAGTCAGACAGGAAGCTCTTATAAACAGGACATATGGATAATAACTCCTTAACTCGGGCCATAATTGATTTTCTATTTAATTAAGCTAGTTTAAGCTTGGAGCACCTTATCAAATTAAACTGACCTATAGTGATGATTTGCAGGTCACTGTCAGAACTAAGATGTTCAGGGAATTTGTCGGGGGGTGGGAAAGTCTTCCTTTATAGAAAGGTTTCTCAACCCAGGCATGTTAGGTATTTGGGGCAGGTAACTGTGGTCAGTACTGCCTTTTACATTGGAAAATGTTTAGCAGCTTCCCAGGCCTCTACGCACTAGATGGCAATAGCACCAGTAGATGGCAATAGTTGTGATAACCAAAATTTCATAAGATGTTGTCTAAATGTCCGTGGATTAGGGGAGAGAGGGCAAAAATCACCTCAGGTTGCGAAACTCCATTATAGATTACATTTATAAAAACATATCACCTTGTGCTTTCACAGAAAATAGTAAAGCAGGTTTGTAGGGGGAAAAGTATTTTATTTGAATTCAATAGCTACCAAAGTAACTCCCCCTTATCGATTAAATCTCTACATTCACCTGCCATGTGATGGAGTGACCTAGGTTAACAAAGATGTAATGAATTTAAAGGTTGATTATAAATGTCTTTCTATGATTTCTCTGTGGGAGCTCTTTTATTTAAGCCAGAGTTGAAGTGATAGTCCTTATTTTTAAAAGAAATTGTCATTTTGCAGTCATTTGAATAAAAATATAAATAGATGGCGAGCTTCTTTCTTGCAAGAACTAACTTAAACCTTTGTATTCTTTATATAGTGACAGCTATAAGATGCACAGTCAAGAAATAGCTATTAAATAAAGGAAAATGAAAACAAAGTCAGTTCCCTGTTGAATCACTCTATGTAAAATAAATCATATATTCATACTTTTACCACTTTTTAAAATATCAACTTATCTATTAAATGTAGACGATAGGCAAAGAGGTAAGAAGTTTGGTTTTTGGGTTTTTTTTGGTTTTTTTTTTTGGGGGGGGGGAGGGTTGCAAGGATACTACACTGTTTTCAAAGCTCTTTAAATTATTGTCATAGAATCTCACTGAAAATTTCACCCAAGTATTTAAACCAGAAAGATAAGTCTTATAATAAATGTGAGTGGTTGTTTGTTTCCAAGCTTTGGCAATTATGAATAAAGCTGCCTCAATCATCCATGTGCAAATTGTTGTGTGGACATAAGTTTTCAACTCCTTTTGTTAAATACTGAGGAACATGATGCTGGATCCTATGGTAAGAGTATGTCAAGTTTTGTAAGAAA